ATACACCGAAGAGCCATTACATTATGACCACCCTGCTAATAACATGTAGGACCACCTTTAGCCCTCAAAACTGCTAGCACCCGCCGTAGCATTGATTCCACAAGATGCTGATGGGTAGTCTGAGGTATCTGGTACCACCAAGCGCTCACCAACTGGTAATGCAATTCCCTCACATTGCGAGGGGGTAGCGTGGCAGCACGGATTTGGTTTTCCAAGTAGGGCCACAAATGCTCTTTTAAGGTCAGGTGAATCTGGGGGCCAATACATGACTTGAAAGTTACTGGAATGTTCCTCGACGATTCGACCCTTATGACATGGTGCATTATCCTGTTGGTAAACACCATCCCCTGCAGGAAAAACTGTTGCCATGAATGGGTGAACCTGGTCTGCAACTATGTTCAAGTAGCTTACAGACGTCAGGGGTTGTTCTATGAGGATTATGGGTCCTAATGTGCCCCATGAAAACATTGTTCCTGGACGAGGAACCATGAAAACCTGGGCGAGTCCATTGTTATAGATGGAGGGTAGTCATAATGCAATGGCTCTTCGGTGCATATCCTACAATAAATTTTATAACTATGAACGTCATTAAAATTTTTAAACAACATCATTTTAAATTACTTCTTAAATTTACAATTAATTAGAATAATCTAATTTGATTTAAATAAATTTTAAAAAAAATCAGATGATTTAAATCAACGAACTAGACCGAAAGCGTTACGGACGGACCCAAAACACTTTTAGCTTTAGTTCATTTTATAAAAGAGAGTGATCAGGTAAAAAAACTGAATTAGTTAATTGCAGTGATAATGGATTACTTACAGATTATTTGTGCAAAATTTATTCATTATTTAAATTTCCTTAATATGAAAATTAAACGAATATATTTAGTACTATATGCTAAGTATAAGTACGCATAAATATTTAGTTCAAAGTATAAATACGTACATACTTAGTGCGAATACATAATATGTGAAAAAGTAAATAAGTAGTAATTTCACTAGTTAACAATCAATAATAATAACAATCTTACATTGTATAACACTTCAAATTAGAAACTTTTTTTTTCTTTTTTTTTGCTTGAATCTTTTATACTTTTAAAAATTCAGATATAAATACTACTATGAAAATATGGCAACATCTCTCTTATTTTTTTAAACTCATTCATTTTTTTCTATTACTTTACTCACAACGAATAAAGCTCGAGCTTTAAAAATGAATATATATCTCGAGATAAAGTTCTCTGCAACAATGTATAAATAGTCATTATTTTAATAAAAATGAAAAATAAATTCGCTAAAAAAACATTTAATGCTATAACAATACATATTGGAATTTTGGAAACAAAAACAAAAGTGGAAGAAAAGTTCAGAAACAAAAATGGCAATTTCAGCACATCTAATTTCAACTCTGTAATTGCATTACTGCAATCAGTAAAGTAATCCGCAGATTTTTTTACACGTTTAATAATTAATTATTCATGAACTAAACTTTTTTCCCTCGAACTCCTTGCACCTTTCTCTATTCACCCTCATTGATACAGTTTTTTTTTTTCCTCTCAGAAAAACAAAATATAATGAACACCCAAAACAGCTAATCTTACTTTTTTTTTTCGTATAGAGAAAGAATCTGATTTCTTACCTTCCAAATCGAGA